CACACCTTCCCAGGCTTCACCTTGTCCTTGCCCCTGGGCAGCTTGATAGGCTGCACAGCTGCATTCAACTTGGCTTTTTTCTCTAGCTATGGGGGAGAAGAAAGAGTTCAGTTCAGATAAGGGCCTCTGGGCCTGGACACCATGATGGCCAGGGTGCATGTCAGTAAAAGGGCAGGGTCATGGTGGCAGGGTAGCACCTGTACTAGGGAGTCAGAGGTAGCTGGGAGAGGGACATACCTGCAATAACATGATGTCATTGTAGAAGTAATGATCTTCATAGTCTGGGTGGGGGATGGTTCTTTTCACTGGGATGACCTGCTGGGTCTTCTCCAGATTCTTAATGTTGTGTGCCCCCAGGGTGACATTCATTGGCCTGCATAGAGAGTGCAGTGGTCATGGGTGATGTGGAGTCATAAAGAATACATCTAGGAGCTGTGAAGAGCAGGCTACAGCAGGGCCAGGGTAGAGCTGTAGCTGAGGGGGAGCAGATAGGAGAGGAGACCTTGGGTTGAGTGACAGTGCCCTCTGTTTCTTATCAGTTGAGGAGATTTCTGAAGCCGTAGGTTCTCAGGACTCAATCATGCCCAGGAAAACACATAAATTTTTTTTTTTTTTAGTTTTCATTGTCATTTAAAAGCATGTTCCCAGCTCTTGATATGGCAGGCTTGGCCACTCTGGTCTTTCTTACTCAGTAGTGCCTCCAGAGTCACCTGCCTTGCTCTTCATAGGACTTGGCCCATCCTCTTTCTTTTTCACCCCTAAAGGCATCTCCTGCACATATTCTCCCAGGTGTCCATTTTTCTACTGAGAAAGAGGCAGAGGTCTCTGTGTAATATTTGCAGGAGGGTCTGGGCTATTTTCTGGTCCTCACCTTCCTAAGCAGTGAGCGGCCGTCAGCACAAAGTCTTCTCTTATCAGGAACCCACCACACTTCTTCTGTACACCCTGAGCAACAAACTCAAGATAGGCCATGTAGGGCCGGGAGTGGGGTTTCGATTCATGTCCCCCGATGATCTCCCCTGAAGGAAAAGTCACCCTGCT